TCTGGTCACTCAGGGAACAGAAAACTACTCATCCAGTGACCAGTATATTTGCCCTCTACCAGACTCCTGTACCCCATTGGTCTGGGTCTGTCACAATTGGAAAAAATAACCCCAAGTATACATACAATATAATGGGGGCTAATTTAGCTACAAGCAGTCAGGAAAAAGATCTTGGAGTCATCGTGGATAGTTCTCTGAAGATGTCCACACAGTGTGCAGAGGCGGTCAAAAAAGCAAACAGGATGTTAGGAATCATTAAAAAGGGGATGGAGAATAAGACTGAGAATATATTATTGCCCTTATATAAATCGATGGTACACCCACATCTCGAATACTGAGTACAGATGTGGTCTCCTCATCTCAAAAAAATATACTGGCACTAGAAAAGGTTCAGAAAAGGGCAACTAAAATGATTAGGGGTTTGGAACTGGTCCCATATGAGGAGAGATTAAAGAGGCTAGGACTCTTCAGCTTGGAAAAGAGGAGACTAAGGGGGGATATGATAGAGGTATATAAAATCATGAGTGATGTGGAGAAAGTAGATAAGGAAAAGTTATTTACTTATTCCCATAATACAAGAACTAGGGGTCCCCAAATGAAATTAAAAGGCAGCAGGTTTAAAACAAATAAAAGGAAGTTCTTCTTCATGCAGCGCACAGTCAACTTGTGGAACTCCTTACCAGAGGATGTTGTGAAGGTTAGGACTATAACAGCGTTTAAAAGAGAACTGGATAAATTCATGGTGCTTAAGTCCATAAATGGCTATTAGCCAGGATGGGTAAGGAATGGTGTCCCTAGCCTCTGTTTGTCAGAGGGTGGAGATGGATGGCAGGAGAGAGATCACTTGATCATTGCCTGTTAGGTTCACTCCCTCTGGGGCACCTGGCATTGGCCACTGTCGGTAGACAGGATACTGGGCTAGATGGACCTTTGGTCTGACCCGGTACGGCCGTTCTTATGTAAGTGGAACAAATAATTTTAGCAGGCTGCAGCAAAACATTAAGAATTGGTAGTGACATCCTACTCTTGGAGGTGGCACCAAGAGCTTCCTCCAAACACTAGAGGGTAGGTTTCTTCCATGGCTATGGAATATAAGTTCAACATGGACATCATGTGATCCATCAGGTCATGAAACTCCGCTGCCATGAGAAGGGGAAGAGGTAGAATTCTCCCCGATATTCTCATCTAGCGACAAATCAGAAGAGTAGTCTGTGTCAGCATGTTTTTATTTAAAAAGAGGAGTTATCTCCTCATCTTCTTCAGACAGAGTATCAGGCAGGAGACAGAGTATCTGTCTGAGATGCAGACAGATCCATTGTAACTAGAGGCAAGGATTCTCTGCAGCCAGATCCCGTATAGATGAATCATCATATCTCCATCCATATGGAGAACAGCTATAAAGTTACAGCATCAGAACTCAATAAGGCCATAGAGCCTAGGGCTGCCAGTCTCCACAGCAACTTGTATTCAGAACATATCCACAGGAGGAGGCACAAACTGGGAAGAAACAGTTCTCTTTATTCTTCCTCTATCTTCATATAAATAATAGAATTGATTTTGGATGTGTGATGGAGTGTAATGGAGACAGCAATGGACCTGAGGTGTAGAGAAATAAATGGAGAGAGAGCTGTTTGTGGATACCATGTAGGAGGCTGAGGAGGAGAAGGAGGTAGAGATGGATCAAGAGAGAAACTAATAATCTCTGCCTTTCTTTTTTAGATGAAGATGACCCAAACCTTGGAATTGGTGAAGAGTGCCTTCCTCAAGACTCTTTGTTTCTCACTTAGATCTGAAGAGTGTTTATAACTGAATGATTGTACATCAGCCACTGAAGTAAAAGTCCTCTTTGGATCCAAAGAAGGACCTGAAATTGGAGCAGGTGTCAAAGCCAGAGTGGAAGACCTGGATGGCACAGGATCTGGTGAAATACTCAGATCCGCCCGCTTGGTCCTTGAAGCTGAAATTAGAACTGGCCTGGATTTCAGAGCCAGAGCCATAGAGGCCATGTCAGAATCAGACAGATCTGAAAACTCTGATCTACGGGATCTGGCACTGCTCACAGTGGCCATCTTCTCCCTTACCACCTTCTTCAGAATTGACACAGTCAGGGCTGATAACATGGCTCTTGATGCTATAATAAGCAGTCTGTCTTTTTCCATCAGCAATGCCTTTAAATCCCTGAGTGCCTGAGTAGCAGGACCCGGAGTTGGACGCGAAGATGGCTCTGATTTCCAGACAAAACACCCATTGACGTAATGACTTAAAGGAGAGAAAAGACTGCTGAACTGAGCTCTGTATACTGACAAGTACATCCTGTGAATTGTAATATATTAAAAGGGCAGAGAGTGAGCACACATTTTATATTTTTTAAATTTATTTTAAATTAATATTCTTAGCAGCTTGGAAAAAAGATTTATTGTTCTACTATTTCCCCCCCCTTTTGGCAAACACTGATTCCTCCCAATCCCCTCTGTATTTGAAATTATCAGTGCATGATTTGTCTACTTATTGTTTCTGCATCAGCATTCTGTAGTCTATTCTATCTGTCTGACCCATCCAGGTGGTCTCTGAGTGTCCATAATAATAAGAAGAAATGAGTAACTAGATTCTATGAAGTTAGATCAAATTACTCATTGTACCTTCACATACAGGTTGTGTGGACCACTTTCCTGCTTTACACGTAACATCTGATGATCCACTGATGGTAAAACCAGGATGGCATTGATAACGTACTGTTTCACCAGGCTCATAACTATTCTTCACTCTGCCTTCAGTCTGAGCATTGATAATATTTGGAACATCTGTACATGGCATTTCTGAAAAGACACACACACAAGATTAAAATGAGTGTAACCCCCCCACAAGCCACCTTTTTTAGTTAAGTCCTTTGTTACTCTTTATATGGATACCTAATTTTAAATAAAGGTGGCAACCAGAACCTAAACACATGCACTAAGTTGTTGGTCGGCAATGAAACTTGCAACATGAGCACTGTTAAAAATCCATCCGAAAATTAAATAAACACCAGCCCTAAATACACTAGGAGTTCAGTTACTAATGAAACTTTATTTGTGCCTCTGTCTGAGACCAATAATTGCAGCTGTTCCTCTTCTTCTGGACACCTCATGCAGTGGTGTGTCTGCTTCCTTCAACAGAACTTTGATGAAAATACATCTGTCCATGTAGGAACTTGATATGGCCCCTGTCACTATAATATGTAAGTGCCTCACAACTATTAATGGATTTATCCTCACAACCCCACTATCAAATAGGGAATACTATTATCCTCATTTTACAGATGGGAAGCTGAGACACAGAGTTAAAAAGACTTGCCCAAGACTATAAAGGGAGTTTGTGCATTAGAACCAGCAACTGAATGAAGACCTCCTGAGTCCTAGTTGGGAGCTTTTAAAAACTAAAACTACTCAAAACAAACAAAAAACAACCAATTAACCAAAAATCCTGAAGCAGTCACACAGTCAGAAGCTTTCTAAAGACCCTCAGCAAGAAAAATAAGCTTTTACAGCAATTTGTACAAATATATATGTAAGCAGAGTCTGAATAAGCTCTCCCCTGACATCTAGTGGTGAGCTGTGGAAAAAGACTTCAGAAGCTGATCTCGTATGCATGGACACACCCTCCCTGCCTAGGTACTCAGCATGATGGGATTGCTTGCCCAAATGATCACTTGTGGCTGGTGTTGGATCCCCAGTCTCCTTGTTATTGGGGAAGCAGTAATAAAGGGTTATCCTCCGTGTTGTGTGAACCGAGGGCAGCAGAACTATACCTGGCATACCCCATACCAGGGAGGGTGTGCAGTGGTGAGCTGGAGCCGGTTCGCACTGGTTTGCAAGAACTGGTTGTTAAATTTAGAAGCCGGTGTAGAACCGGTTCCTAAAGGGGCGGGCGGGTGGGCAAACTCCGGTCCATGGGCCACATCTGGCCCGCGGGACCGTCCTGCCTGGCCCGCCTGAGCTCCCAGCTGGGGAGGCTCCCCCGGCCCCTCCCTCACTTCCGCCCCCCCCCCTCGCAGAGCCCCAGTGCGCCACGCTGCTGGCGCCAGCGCTCTGGGCAGCTCTGCAGCTCCTGCCACTTTGAGCAGCATGGTTAGGGGGTGGGGCTGTGAGCTCCAGCGGCCGCGCGGCATCCTTACACAGCAGCATGGTAAGGGGTCCAGGCCGGGTCTGGGAGAGGGGTTGGATAAGGGGCAGGGAGCGGTTGGAGGAGGCAGAGGCTCTTGGGGGACAGTCAGGGGACAGGGAACAGGGGGGTTGGGTAGGCGTGGGAGTTCCGGGGGTCTGTCGGGGTGGTGGTGGATGGGGTCAGGGCAGTCAGGGGACAGGGAGCGGGGCAAGTTGGGTAGGGGATGGGGTCCTGGGGGGAAGTTAGGGTGGGGGGTCTTGGGAGGGGGTGTTCAGGAGACAAGAAGCGGGGGCGTTGATGGGTTGCGGGTTCTGAGGGGGGCAGGACGTGGGGGGGGGAAGACAGGCACGTGGGGCTTGTACTCACTGCGTGGTTCCCTACTGGGTCTTCGGCGGCACTTCGGCAGCGGGGGGGGGGGGGGGGGGGTTCCTCACTCGCTCCGGGTTTTCGGCGGCATTTTGGCAGGAGGTCCTTCACCCGGAGTGAGTGTAAACCCCCCCCGCCGCCGACAAAGTACCGCCGAGAACCCGGTAGGGAACCAGTTCTTAGGATTTTGGGAGCTCATCACTGGTGGTGTGTAATTGTTCCAGGTCACTGGGTGGAGGCTCAAGCCGGTTTTGTGTTGTATTGTTGAAAAGGAACCCCACTGAACCCAGCCCTTGTTGCTGCTGGGTCCACCTGCCAGAAGGGTTACATACATAATCATTTTTTCCTATAATTTAGCCTCCAGTTGAAACTTATTGTCCTCTCCACTAAATGAACTGCTTTTGAAAATTCTACACAATGTAATTACCAACACATGTAGGAGCTGAGGTCCATTTTCCAGTCTTACAAATTATCTCAGGTGGTCCACGTAACATGAAGCCAGGGTTACAACTGTACGTTAACATGGTACCATTCCGATAAGTCACTGGTCCTGATTGCTCCTGTCTTAAGTTCTGATTTTCTAGACTGAGAATCTCACCATTTGCTATGGAAGGTGGCTGGAAACATAATTTTTCTTCTGTTTTGGAAAAAAATAAAATTAGTATGTCATATGCACATATAGTCTAAAACCGAAAGAGAAAGTAACAGTGAACTGCAGTGAAAATAAATTGTGGTGATTTTTTAAGGCTGGGGAACATTCTAGATTAACCCACCCTAAACATGATTTCCCATTGCCTCAAGCCCCAAATAATAGCTGGATTCTAGATCATACTGCCGGGGTGCATTAAATGCCTATAGTCTATTAAACATAGTTCATTCATTACAAACAGTGAAGTGTATGTGGTGTCATGTCATCTTGTTGTAGGAGTTCAGAAATGAAAGGAAGTCTCTAATGCTTTGTCTACACTAAAGTTTTTATACTCATTTTCCAGAACAAGTGAAATTGCAACAGTGCATGGTAACGTAAAGGGTTTCATGATTTGATGTTAAAAATACTAGAGTCCAATCTACACCAGAGGAGGCTCAATTGCTGGAACTGCACTTATCCTGGGAGAGAGCTATAAAACATTGTAGTGTAAATGCAACCTCTGCATGAGGAGGATCAAAAACCCTAGATCTCTCGTGAGCCCTGATGAAACAGGTAGGTATGTTCTAATGGGGGCCAAAAGACCTTTTACTCCTACGGTTACTCTAGATGAATGAGAGATTTCAGTCATGTCAGTCCGAGTGCACTTGTTTGGTATCAGTGAATTATGTTGAGTTTGCCAAGTATTCCTGAATTAACATATTACATGGGATTTAGATAGTTATATTGGGTTTAACAAGAGCGGGACACTTAAAACCATTCAAAATTCTGTTTGATTATCAATCAGGATGGGGAAGGAAGAAATTCAATTTTTTCTCAGAGAGTTCTGCTAGGGATCGTATCTGATCCTGGAGTATAAATCTGAATGGGTTGCACAAACGGAAAATGGTGTCAATATAATATTATGAAGAAGCTAGATCTATTTTTGATTCTTCAAATTTCTTTGTTTTAAGGGATCTAGTCAGGAGATCATTATCAGACAGCAAGGGCCACTCTAAAACTGAATTATATAGTAAAATCAGATAGATTCTGATGAGAATCTGAATCTGATTCACTAAGAGAAAATGGATGGGATCTATTGCAACTCTAGTTCTAAAGGAGATAGTGTGTGTTACAAAGAAGCAATGAACAATGAATTATAAACTAATATGCAAACATAGCTTGCATTAGAAGCATTGGTTTTGACTCTAATGTACAGTAATGCTATCTGAAACACACATCTGTGTGGCTTTCTACATTAGCTTGAATGGAGTTATATTTTTGGCCAGTTAAAATATTTTTAGAAATAATTTTAAAGTTCTGCTGGTTACCAGGAGAAGCACCATTTGTCCCTAAGATACACAGAAAAGAAATAACAGGATGAAAAGAAAGAGTAGGGAGGTCCACGGGGCTTCAGAATATTCAAATTTTCAAGAGAAAAAGAAATCTCAAGAAGAGTTTTTGAAAGAGAGCAGGCAGGCTAGTGAGCTCAGGAAGGCTGTGCTGGAGAATGGCATTAGCTGTTTGGTCTGCTCAGTTCCTTCCAGCCCACAAAGTTACTTTAATTTATGAGGAATAAAAGAATAACTTTTCAAGTAAAAAAAAAAAACCCTGAAAACTGACATATGCCTGATGTTCTGAGATTGTGCATCTGGTTTGAAATTTGAAGGGACTGTGAGCCTTTAACTGCAGGGACCTGAAAAGATGCTTAGAATCTCATGGACAATTTTGAAAGAAAGAATAAATTATATAAAAGTTCCCACTCTAAAAGTTAGTAAATATTTTTCCCCCTCCCCACCAAAAAATAAAATAAAATAATAAATAAATAAAAAATTTCCTCTGAAGAACCACTGTATTAAATGTTGTGGTTAAATTAAATAATTAAATTTTGAAATAGAGGAATTTTAAACCAGTTTAAATTGCAAAAATTAATTCACAGCCATAATTATCTAATCACTAGTTATATCTTCATAATTCCAGCTAGACATACACTCACATATACACAAAACAATTCAGAGGGGTGTTGTGAAAATAAATTAATTCATATTTGCAAAGCACTCAGCTCATATAGCGTCAAGTACCACATAAAAGCCGAGGAGGAAATATAAAATTGTGTACTCCGAGCAGGGTTTGAGTAGCATGCAGTAAATAAACACTAGGCCCCATATTGAATAATGAAGATGAAACAAAATATTGGCTGTTCATTAGGTGAGCAACTATCCTTTGCACAGGATGAGGCAGAGATCCTGTGGAAAAAAATTGTGTGTGCTCATGTAATTAAAATTAACATTAAATTAAGGTTGCACAGCCAGCCTTAATTATGGCTTTTCCTAATTTTTGAATGCTTGATTTTGCAACATTAAATTATAAATATTGTGTGTATGTATATGAGGCTCAGTATACACACACAAAACATACCAACATTTGTATATGTTTTTTCACAGCACTTAATTTTATTAAATAAACATTGAGAGTCCCATCTGTGCTTTGAAACTTTTCTCCCTTAATACTCCCTTCTTTCACCCTTAGTGGTAGGATAAAAAACAATTAGGTTCTGATATCAGATTGTACTTTTTGACATTACTATATTCATTTTTCAGACCCTAGTTCATTTTTAACCCATTAACAACACACTGCATACGATTCAAATCCTTTAACCCATTAGTCCAGTATTACAGGTCTGATTAATTTGTGCATTTTATTTTTCAACACTTTTCTGCACCGAACGATTGGTAATGACTTCTTAACAAAATACGTGAACACTAACTACCACAATGTGTAAGGGGCAAACAGTGACATGGCAGTTGTCCTGTTACTGATATTGTTTGTACATTTCCTCTGACTGATGAACCTAAAGAAATATAAATAAAGCCCCATACTGACCAACACAGCGCGGTGGTGATTGCCACTTCCCGTTTTCACACATTATTTCTTTCACTCCTTGGTGTTCAAAAGCTTTTAGGCACGTAAAAGCTATTTTTTCACCATTCTCGTAGTTTCGTGTCTCTGTGATCTTGATGGCACCCGGGAGCTGAGGTGGAGGTGGGCATTTTCTTTCTTTAGCAAAAGATATTTCAGTTAGAGCTCTTGATTCAAACAATGGTAAATGTAAAAGTTCATTACAAACCAGAACAGTTAATAGATAAAAACATGTGCAGTCCATAGATCCTTAGTAGCTATTCTCAGCATTTAGTTAGCATCATAATCATATTGCATTGACTCAAAGAACTGCATTATAGTTAATGAAGTACAACTGTGGGCTTAAAATAAGACATTTTGTAATGGCCTCTCATTGTGAGCAGTTCTTCTTCCTGCTCCATAACAAGAGCATAAACACACCATCATAAAGTAAAGAAACCTTTATTGTAATTGAAGTTATTTTTCTAGTTAACTCAGATGCTATAAACTGCTCAAGGCTCTAATCCAGCCTATTTCCTGAGTGGTGAAACCAGGGTCATTCCACTGAGCAAATGACAGGAGGTGCAAGAGTATGCTGTGTGGCAGTCATACAGGAGATGCACATTGTCTATTGTGGCACAGAGCTGAGCTATGCAGGGACCCCCATGCATGATAGTTAAGAGAGTTAGGAGGAAACAGGACATAGGTGGCTGGGAGAGGGGCAGTACCAAAGGCTCCACTTCTTGTTAAGGAGGGAGGGTGTGTAAGGATTCACAGAGTTTACTCTGTAGTGTGGCCTCTGGGGAAAAAGGAATCCTACTCTTTAGCAGATCTTTATCGAAAACTGAGATCCATCAGAAATACACACACACACACACACACACACACACACGCACGCACACACACAAAAGCAAGTGTAAAAGGAATATTCAGGTTGCAAAAGTCAAGTACTCAAGAGTTAGTAAATGCCAGAACTAAAGATGCCTGTTGCCTCTGCAACTTTAATTCAGCCACCTTGTGTGTTTGTATTATGATCCCATCTTTAATTACATAAGCGCAGAGTATTTTTTCTAGAGCTGTCAAGCAATTAAAAAAATTAATCACGATTAATCATGTGATAAAAAACGTAATCACAATTGTGTGATTAATTGCACCGTTAAACAATAATTGAATACAATTTATTTAAATATTTTTGTATGTTTTCTACATTTTCAAATATATTGATTTCAGTGACAACTACAGAATACAAAGTGTACAGTGCTCACTGTATATTATTATTTTTCATTACAAATATTTGCACTGTAAAAAAAAAAAGAAAAGTATTTTTCAATTCACCAAATATAAGTACTATAGTGCAATCTCTATCATGAAAGTTCAATTTACAAATGTAGAATTATGTCCAAAAATAACTGCATTAAAAAATAAAAGCATGTATAATTTTAGCACCTACAAGTCCACTCAGTCCTACTTCTTGTTCAGCCAATCACTCAGACAAACAAGTTTGTTTACATTTGCAGGACTTAATGCTGCCGCTTCTTGTTTACAATATCACCTGAAAGTGAGAACATGGCACCGTTGTAGCCGGTGTCGCAAGATATTTATGTGCCAGATGCACTAAAAATTCATTTGTCCCTTCATGATTCAACCACCATTCCAGAGGACATGCGTCTATGATGATAACAGGTTCTGATCGATAACGATCCAAAGCAGAGCGGACCAATGCATGTTAATTTTCATCATCTGAGTCAGATGCCACCCGCAGAAGGTTGATTTTCTTTTTTGGTGGGTTGGTTTCTGTGACTTCCGCATCAGAATGTTGCTCTTTTAAGACTTCTATAACATGCTCTACACCTAGTCCCTCTCAGATTTTGGAAGGCTCTTCAGATTCTTAAACCCGGGTCTAGTGATCTAGCTCTCTTTAGAAATCTCAAATTGGTACCTTATTTGTGTTTTATCAAATCTGCAGTGAAAGTTCTTAAAACGAACAACATGTCCTGGGATATCATCTGAGAATGCTATGACATGAAATATATGGTAGAATGTGGGTAAAGCAGAGTAGGAGACGTGCAATCCTCCCCCCAAGGAGTTAAGCCACAAATTTAATTAATGCATTATTTTTTTAACGAGCATCATCAGGATGGAAGCATGTCCTCTGGAATGGTGGCCGAAGCATGAAGGGGCATATGAACATTTAGCCTAACTGGCACATAAATACCTTGCAATGCTGGCTACAAAAGTGCCATGCAAATGCCTATTTTCATTTTCACGTGACATTATAAATAAGAAGTGGGCCGCATTATCTCCTGTAAACGTAAACAAATTTGTTTGTCTTAGCAATTGGCTGAACAAGAAGTAGGACTGAGTGGACTTGTGGGTGCTAAAGTTTTACATTGTTTTGTTTTTGAGTGCAGTTATGTAACAAAAAAAAATCTATATTTGTAAGTGGCACGTACACGATAAAGAGATTGCACTACAGTACTTGTATGAGGTGAATTGAAAAATACTATTTGTTTGCCATTTTATACAGTGAAAATATTTCTAATATAATAAAGATAATATAAAGTGAGCACTGTCAACGTTGTACACTGTGTTGTAATTGAAATCAATGTATTTGAAAATGGAGAAAAACATCCAAAAATATTTAATACATTTCAATTAGTATTCTCTGTCCTCTGGTATCCATGCCTTGTCATGGTGGGACAGGTTGCATGCTTTAACGATCCCCAGTGTGTGTGTCGGTGGGGGGCTTTTTGCTCCTGTAGGTTCAACCATTCCGGATTAGTCTGTGGGGGAGGGGCAAGACAAAACAGACACCCTGGTCCTCCAGGTTGGGGGTTAGGCCCAGGGCTAACAACCCTGTCCCGTAAAAAACAAAATATGTTACAGAAACAGTGATGATGATGATTTGGTATTCTATTGTTTAATAGTGCAATTAAAACTGCAATTAATCAAGATAATTTTTTTAATCACAATTAATTTTTTGTGTTAATCGTGTGAGTTAACTGTGATTAATTGACAGCCGTGTTTTTTTCATATGACCCCTACCTCATTCAGTACACAGAATGGATGGGATGTCATCATATTACTAATGACGGTATCCCAAGGAGGCTGAATTAAGATTCCACAGAGGAAGGATGGTCCAGTGCTTAGTGTGCTAGCCTAGGTCTTGGGAGACTTGGGGCTTGTCTACACTGGCAATTAACAATGTTGCAACTTTCTTGCTCAGGGGTGTGAAAAAAACACTCCCCTGAATGCAGCAAGTTGCAGCGCTGTGAAGTGCCAGTGCAGGGAGCCACTCACTGAGGTGGATTTTTAGAGCGCCAGGAGTGCTCTCTCCCAGCGCTGCACCATGACCACACAAGGCATGTTAAAGCACTGCCTTGACAGCGCTGCCACGGCAGCACTTTAGCGTTGCCAGTGTAGACTAGCCCTTGGATTCACATCCTTACTCTGGCACAGACTTCCTGTGTGAGCTGAGGCCAATATCTCTGTCCTTCAGTCCCCCATCTGCAGCATGGGGATACTGGGACTTCCCTACTTCACAGGGGCATAGCAAGAATAAATGCAAGAAATTGAGTTCCTTCGTTGAGAAAATAACTGATTTTTTAGAGAAGGGAAGTGCAGTAGATCTAATATACGTGGACTTCAATAAAGCATTTTGACACAGTGCCTCAGGAGAAATTAGTTAAATTAGGGAAGATGGGGATTAATACAAGTATTGCAAAGTGGATAAGAAACTGGCTAAAGGGGCGAAGGTAATGGGTTATTCTGAAAGGTGAATTAGTGGACTGGAGGGAGGTTACTAGTGGAGCTCCTCATGGCTCCATCTGGCAACTAATATTATTCAATATTTTGATTAATGACCTTGGCACAAAAAGTCAAGAGTGCTAATGAAATTTGCTGATGATACCAAGTTGGGAGGCATCATCAATACAGAGGAGGATAGGAACATTATAGAGGAAGACCTGGATGACCTTGAAGACTGAAGTGACAGAAATGGGATAAAATTCAATAGTACAAAGTGCAAGGTCATGCACATAGGGTCTAGTAATAAGAATTTCTGCTACAACCTGGGGGCTCACATCAGTTGGAAGCAACAAAGGAGAATAAAGACCTACTGTGTAGATTTATCACAGGATGATGATGAGCCACCAATGTGATGCGGCTGTGAAAATGGCAAATATGATCTTAAAATGTACACAGTAAAGCATTTCCAGTAGGAATAAAGTGTAAGACCTTACTTGGATTACTGTGTACAATTCTGATCACCCATGTTCAAGAAAGACCAATTTAAATTGAAACAGGTGTAGAGAAAAGCTACTAGGATGATCAGGGGAATGGAGGGTCTATCTTATGAGAAAAGACTGGAAGAGTTTGGTTTGTTTAGTTTCACAAAAAGAGGTCAGAGGGGGATATGGTTGCTCTCTATCAATTCATTACGGGGGTAATTCCCAGGGATGGTGAAGAGCTATTTAAGTTACATGACAATGATGGGACAAGAAGTAGTGGATGTAAATCTGGCCATGAACAAATTCAGGCTGAACATTAGAGGAAAGTTTCTAACCATCAGAGGGATGCGGTTCAGAAACAGCTTCCCAATAGAAGTTGTGTGGACAAACAACTTCCTTAGTTTTACCAGAGATCTGGACAAACTTTTTAGTGCAATTTTAAGACGAGGTTGCTTGTGATGGTAGGGGACAGGTGTCAACAACCCTCGAGCTCACTTCTGGTTTAAGTCCCATGTTCCAGAAGCTCATGCTTCAGGGGTTCGTCCAGCCACTGACAGGGGTCTGGAAGGGATTTTTGCCCCCCTTCCTCCAATGTATTCTGGGAAGGTGTTTTCACTTTCCGCTAAAGCATCAGACGATGACCATGGCTGGAGATGGGATATTGGTGGGAGTGGAACCAGGGCTTTGAGGTGGCACTGAGCATTCTCTCTTTGCTGGCTGGTTCTTGCTCACATGCTCAGGGTCTCGCTGATCACCGTATGTGGGGTAGGGAAGAAATTTTAGCCCAGGTTAGATTGGATGTAGTAAGGAGCATATAGTTAGGGGTTTGAAGGAGGGGGTCTCATGAGTTCCCTGAGGACTAAGTTCAGATCCCATGTGTGCGTGGGAGGGTGTATTTCAGGGTAAATGTTCTGGAGTCCCGCAAGCAAG